TGTGGAGGCTGGCCGTAGTACTGTGGAGGCTGGCCGAAGACTTGCGGCTAAAACTGCTGCTGTTGGTGCCGTCCGTGGCCATGGCCTCCCCTGCCTCGGTTTTTGCGTCGTCCACCACGTATGCCCGCCACAATGGGGCCACTACTGTCCACCAGAAGATGGCAACTCCAGAACCCCCCCTGCTGAGGAGGATGCCGCGAAAGATGGATCACCAATGGTGGACTCCAATGACTCTTGATAGTGCAAGTGCGCCTCTTGATGGAACAATTTTGTGCATAAGGAGTTAAATGTGAGCCCTTCAGGAAAAGGAATTAATGGAGGCCAAAGAATCCGCAATTGTCTTGATCCCGCGAGCTTACTCTTCCATGGATTGATTGCCTTCTTCTTGGTATGATCGAGACAACATATGTTTTAATTCCATTGATTAGGCAAGACTGGAAGCCATGAACCTTGACTCCAACCGTTGCCATATGGTAGTCGAATTTTTCAATTGATGGACTTTCATTAAAATTTCACGGGAAAGGGTAGCAAACAGTCAAGCACGAACAGTCTGCTCCAACTTTAACCAATGATAATTTTCAGAATTAATTGTCTGAGCGTGATCTAAATCATAGGTATACAGAGTGGGAGCCAGAAGAGTTCCATCAAGAATTCCCAAAAGACCATTAATAACTAAAAAGGACTTGAATTGAGTATGCCAGGGCAGCCGGGCAGGTAATCTTCAACAATCAATAATTTGGTGGTCACAATTTGGGTAATAGAGGCTCCAAAAGTCATACCTTGAGCCAATGTAGCAAAAGATGCCAGTAAAGGACTGGCAACCTGGAGATGACTGATCGCGCCTGATAGGCACTAGTTGATAGTGTCTAAAGTGTACATTTTTATTATCGTTTGTAATATTTATTTACTAGTATTATGCAAGTTTGTAGTTGTTAGTTTGCATTTGATTGTAATCGTATTTTTAGCATTTTATTGTTTGTTGTAAGTTATAGTTAGTTGAGCTATAAGTTTAGGATAGGCTTGGAAGCAAGAAGGATGGAAAAACCTGAGTTTTATGCAAAACCCGGTCGGGTATGGACTTTACCCGGCCGGGTATGAAGTGACAAAGGGAGTTGCTACGAAATTAGCAAATACCCGGTCGGGTATTCCCTATACCCGGCCGGGTATGAAGTGATTTCGGGCAAACGAACGTGTAGAAGAACACCAGAACATGGGAAAAAGATTTGATTTGACAAATACCCGGTCGGGTATAGCAAATACCCGGCCGGGTATCCGGCATTAGGTGTTGAAAACACCTATAAATAACCCCATTTTCTTTCACTTTTAAACATCTCTTCTTCCATACTCTTAAGCTCAGTTTAGAATAGTATTTCTTTTATATTTTTATAGCATGTTTAGTCTCCAAATGAGGAGCTAAACTCTTCCATCTTGGTTTTGCTACTTTGAAGCTTAATGAATTTGTAAGTTGTGAGTTATTCTCTTTAATCTTCTTCCTTGAATATTAATTCTTCCTTTAAATACTATTTCTATATCAATGTTGGGGAGTGTTACTAAGATGACAATTAGTTAACATCTTGACATTAGTCATAGTAATAGCTATTTCTTCCTCTATGTCAATATTGGGGAGTGTTACTAAGATGACAATTAGTTAACATCTTGATATTAACTATAGGATTTATCTTCTTTAATATTCTTCCTTGAGTATTAATTAATTCCTATTCATATTTCATATTAATATTTTGAACATTACTTAAAGGATCAACTAGTTTTGTTTCATATATTAATTATTACTAGAATCAATCGGTTAATACGCTTGTTATTAATTCGGTTCTTTCAATGGTAGTAAACTTGGATTGTTAATGCATGCTTCTCATGGTTAATAAACCAAGGGGAATTAATTATATTGATTAAACCAATAAACCGCTTGTGTTGAGGTTATCAATCTCAATCGTTTTCATCTTAAGTTTATTGCTACTATCAAGTTAATATACGGCGCTTGTTCTATATTGACTCGATAGTAAGTTTTATTAAGGAACGCGTCTCGTTATTAATAAGTACCCTCGATGAATTGGATATACTCCTCGATTGAGTATTCGAGAGGAAGATAGTTAAAGATATAACCGGGATCGACGAACATTTCATTAAGTGGATAAAAGCAAAGCTAAGTCTTCTTCTCATTAATTAAACCACATAACTCGTTCATCTTCGTGTTTAAATATAATTTGAGTTCATAAACCAATCATAACTTCCCCACCCTCGTTACTTATTTCTTATTCTATAAAAAGAGAAGTATTCCTTTCCCTATGGATACGAACCTTACTACACTATACTACATATTAGTGTCGTATTGAATATTTATTTTGAAGTGCACACCACGACAAAGTGCACGTCAAATTTGGCGCCGTTGCCGGGGAAAAGCAATTATTTTTCTTTTTATTTTATTTCAAGAAAAATCAAAAAATATATAATTAAATAAAAATATAAAGAGTTCTTATTTTCTATTTCCGAGCTTTGTTTGAGTATATGGTTAAACACCGATCTATAAACCAAATCACCTACCAAACAAACCCCGAATCAGAACAAGCCTTCGAGAGGTTTAGGAATTTATTTCCGAATACTACTTCAGAGGAATCATCAAGTGCTAGTTCTTATTCTAGCGAGAACGAAGAGCCAATTACTATGTCTCAAGAAACGAGAACGTTGAGGGAGCTCACGGCTCCTAACTTAAATCAACAACCTCTATGTATCACCTTCCTCACTCTTGATGAAGGTGCTACATTTGAGCTCAAATCGGGCCTCATTCATCTACTCCCTTCATTTCATGGCCTAAGGGGCGAGGATGCAAACAAACATCTTGCGGAGTTTCATATAGTTTGCACTAGTATGAAACCAAATAATGTCACTGAAGAACAGATCAAGCTGAGGGCCTTTCCATTCTCACTGAAAGACACGACTAAGGATTGGTTATTCTATCTTCCCTCGGGAAGCATAGATACATGGGCGGCAATGAAGAAATGCTTCCTAGAAAGGTACTACCCCGCCTCCATCTCATCATCTTTGAAAAACAAATAAGTAACATTGATAAAAAAGATGACGAGACTTTATATGAATATTGGGAACGGTTCAAAAAGTTATGTGCTAGCTGCCCTTATCATGGCTACACCGAGCAAGACCTCATACTCTACTTTTACGATGGTCTTGTTGATGATGATAGAAGAATGGTGAATGCCGCTTGTGGGGGGTGGCATTGTCAACAAAACCCCCTCACAAGCGACAAACTTGATCTCGGAGTTGGCCGAAAATTCTAGACATTACAACGGGCGGTCCTCAATCCGAAAAGTTGCCGCGGCGGAATCATCTTCATCTTTGGAAAGTCAAATGGCCGGCTTGACCTCTTCAGGAACCATGTTTATAAAAAAGAATGTTTAATCAATCATATACTAAAAAAGTGCAATCTACCTACTCCAAGGAAGCTATAGATACAACAAAACACTATTAATTATGAATGCTACACTCTCCAAGTCTCACACACTTTTGTTGATTCTAATGGTTTTATAGATAGTCTCCAAAGCCTAACTCTAGTCCCTAGATAGTCTCTAGATGCGTTGTCCATGTAGGTATGATGGAATTATGGAAAGGTCTTACTTTGATATTATTTCAGTTCCCGAACACTGAACTAGACCAGAATCAACTAGTTCTGGCCCATAACTTCCATTTGACTTCTAGAAGTGGAATCAGGGGGTCTATCCCTAGTGAAAAAGAGAGGCCAAAGGGACTTGGTGGCAATTTGGTATAAAATTCATGATCAAGATGTTGTGTCTTCCGAGTAAGGACCTAGTATAAAAAACATAGGAGTGCATCTTTGTTCCTCTAACTTTTTTTAATGTACTTCTAACATGTGATATTCTCTTTGACAGAATCATATTGATGCCATCAAACCACAAGATACATGACCTCTTATTTTAGGAGTAAAAAATGGAATTTTCCTTTTACCTTGAAGATTTAACCACAAGCTCAACCATTTCCTTTCTTCACCCTTCGATCTTCTTGTTTCCTTCACCATCAAAGCTAGAGAGAGAGAGAGCAACATAAAATCCGAAAGCATCAAACTTTAATGATATGCTGGCGACTGTATGTAATGAACTCTGGATATATAATCCACGATGTTAAACATAAACCATCATGGACTCAACGCTAATCTGTTATACAAACAAATCACTATACTTCTCTAAGAATTGGTAGATGAGGGCCGCGAGAGCTTGTTCGTCCTTCTTCTTTCTACTCCATTGGAGACTAACCCTTTGATATTGATTCAATTAATATATATAGTCTCGTCTTGATGTTCCTAAAAACCTTTTTCAACCATCTCCCGTGCATTTTGAGACCATAGTATGGCTTTCATGTGAAATTGTGAATGCACTAACAAGAGTAGTTTTATTTGGTGAGGAGAGAGATTTGGAAGGGAACTAAGTTGTTAACATTCACATTCCTTGAAAGAGATGGTGGATCTTGTACCACTTAGGGGAGAAATGGGGGTTAAGTATCTTAGAATTGATTCTTGAGAGAACTCGTAACTCATTGATTTTGAGTTTTTTATTAACTTGGGTCACATCTCATAGATTTCATCATCTTGTATAATCTTCTATCTAGAAATACTCTGATCTATAGCTGTTTACAACATCTACTAGCTAATTAAAGAGTAATCTAGATCTTTCTCTATCTATTCTAACACTAATATGAGCTACCTACTTTGATTCTTTTTCATATAAGATCTAACCCAATAAGTTGACTTCCTATGAACCTAATAACTATTACGGGCTAAGCTAATATTTCTAAATTCTAACAATAGTTATGTCACATTTCTGAACTCTATCCAACCTTTTCACATTTTCCTCAATGTCCTAGCTTTTCATTCTTTGTCTTATTATTGATCCCTTCGTCTACTTTTGAAAGATACTAAGAAAACACGAGAAAAGTACTAACCATGCATATAGACTACTCATCCAATGAAAATGTAAAATGAAAAACTAACATGAAAGCAGTGGTTCATGATAATTACAGTATTGGACAAACTTCCAATAAAAGCATTAAAATGATTTTTTTCTACCTAGCTATGAAGTATATACTTTGATCAACCATCTCAAAGTGTGACCAACAATGAAAGATCATACGTAGTACGTACATTATTAATGCAAATCATTTAGTTTTCCAACAAATCTTGTTGATGTGCTTCTACTTTGCAATGCTCTTCCACTACTTGTGTTGAAAACAGGAAATGATTTTCCAGCGAGAAATGAATGAAACAGGACAAGTGACCTCTCAGGCTGTGAAAATGGAGCTTCATGACCAGCACCTCTTATTGTTGCAAAGGAAAGCAACTCTCCATACCTTTGTGTCCATCCACCAACCTGAATAAAAAAACGCAGGCAATTAAGGGTAATATATGGGAATTACTAAACATATTCCAGTATGTTTCACACCTTGATGAACCAGGGCACTATGTTGGACTGAACCGGTACAAAGAATATTCTTGAAAAAAATGCACGAATTTTTTAAGCTAAAAACATAAACATTTTTTAAATTTACGGTTGGCCGGGGTCTAGGTTGGCCCCCTAGCCACGCCCCCTGCTTGCATGTTACTGTGCAAAGAAAAAGTTCAAAAATTAATTACTACGTAATCTACTAACAAAAATTTGATCTATCTAAACTACCTGTTCTCCCTCAAACCAAGGGCGGTATGGCATAGATGTGTTCAATCCAATAAACTTTGCCAATTTATAAACCAATTTCCGAGTTCCCGTAAATGGGATAACTGAATCTTGATCTCCACTGTTACATTAAATAAAAATTAAATCATATTATATTCATACACAGACATATGCAAGGTTGTCATCCACTTGCAAATTTATAATCTGGAGAGTTAGTCAGTTGATGCACATAAATATGAGATGGTCCATAGATGGTCCCCTCCTAGAATAACCTTTTATAATTTTATAGATATTAGAGATTTTTTACTGGAGATATTACAGAATTGTTAAAAATATACGTGTTTCTAAGGAGCATAAGGGAAAGTGCAAAAATAGGAATTCATGTTTTAATTTCCCTAAACAGGAGTAAAACAGTGATTGTGGAAAAACACGCCAGAATTTAGTGTTTGCGGTTAGAGTTAGGTAGTGACTGCCAACGATAGTGGTTGTTCTTCGGTGGCAGACTGGCAATGGTTAAATTATAAATTTCTTTCATTTTTGTCCAATCATATATTACTCTTATTCAAGGAATTTTTAACATTAACTTCTATTTTTGCATTTTAGGCTTTTAGGTGGTTCTGTGAAATTTTGCTATAAGTTTTGTGTTAGCAACTTAGCATCATCCTAGTTTACTATGGAATATAAATAAAGCATTACCTGTAAACCAATACGCGAACCCCAGACTTGACAAGGGAACCTAGAATGTTAATGGTAGGAACCTCCAAATTGCGCATGTCATAGATTAGGATACTGTTGAAAAAATAAAAGAGTTCTTGTGTTAACTACAATTAGATCTGGAAGAAATTTTATTTTACTTTTTCAGTTATAAAACCAAATTGCTAGAATGAATTTGTAATCAATCAACCCTTACTCGCTGCACGTGGACCAACCATTCACTCCATGAACACGTGCATGTAAAGATTTTTGCACGTCTTTTCGACCAAAATATGCAATGGTTTCTTCCTCTATGCATACGTCTTTTTTCTGAAACAAAATCAATCAACAAATTAAATTTATGTGAAGGCTGAAAGTTGCATGCATACATTGATACATGCAGGTGTTTATTGCTACTTGGTACTAGGATGATGAAAATTTAAGAGACATTGCATGTGGAGTAATATGTTTGTAATACTCATCCCGTCCCGTAATTAAGTTTCAAGTTTGAATTCTTAGGGTTTTAGGCAAAATATTTTTTCCATGGACTTTTGAGCTAGTATACCCTTCCTCAAACGTATGAAAGAGAAAAATTAATAATTAATGACATAACTTTCATAGGGGTAAAAGAATACATTACCATTCAAATATTTCCAAAAAGGAAGTGAGAATTTATTTATGAGATATCCCGAAAACTCGAAAGGAAAGAGAGAATTTACCTTAAGTGTATTATTGCATGTGACACTAATAGTAGAATGTGGCACTATGCTTGATGGTAATTTAAGGTATTATTGCATAATTCTAACGTATTAAGTGTATGTATGTTAGATAGTACATACCAATGTAGTAATCTTCTTTGATTGTGGGAAAATACAGACATCTTCGGTCACATCATAAACATCAATATAGTTTCCAATTTCAGCATTCACTTGATCATTTACTTGATGGCAATGAGGCGTAAGGTTTCCAGTATCATCAAATTGCCTTCGCATTATAGATGTGTTACAGACCTTATTGAGAAGTCCATAAGTATAATCTGATATTAATCCATGTGACCAACAATACTCTCCCACGGCATTGAAATCTGTGTTGAACTCCAAAAGAGGGTTTCCAATCTGAAATTTATTCACATAACCACCTCTCACTCATTACATTATGAAACAATTACCACATTGATTTTTCAGCTGTTAAATATAAGCACTCACTGCTATTCCCTTAAGATTAATGTTTGCCTTTGATTGTATGATGAGCTGCGCAAGTTGTGGAACATAATGCCCTGCATATATGCAAGGTAGATGTAATCATGTAATAAGTTAAGATATACTCCTTTTGTCCCAGTTAAAAGTTCGCATTTCTATTTTAGAAATTAACACTATTAAATGACAATTTAATACTTCGTATCAAATATTAAAAATAGTACATCAATGACATCATAGTTATATTTAGGCTAAAGGGTCAAATATGTCCTTGAACTGACTTAAAGTGTTCAATTAACCCCTTATATAGGAGGTTCTGCTCGGCCGTCGCTAAGGGAGTGTTAGCAAGCTCTAAACAAAAGTGCTTTTGACTTTTTTTGTAATGAAAAGCCAAAAATGGTGTTTGTATACCCAACTTTTAGATTAAATTAAAGCACTTATAAGTCAAAAGTTCAAAGCATGCTTGGGGGTGCTTTTATCAGCTTATTGGTATTTATGTAAATACTCCCAACTTTGGGTATTGTTATTAGATCAAATATTTTACTAAACCAAAATTACCCTCCCCTCCCTTGATTCCCTGCGGCTTGTCAGACCATGCTGCCTCATGGCTGAATGGCTCTTGTGTAGTAAATGGAGATAGCAAAGGCATTTTTGTCATTAACCAAATATTACATCAAAAATCACTTTTTTCCCAAACACTCCAACTTTTACCTTTAAATTAAAGTTACTTCTATTCCCAAACACTACCAACTTTTACTACAAATCACTTTTCCAATAATCTCTTAAAAAAATCACTTTTAAAAAGCACAAGCAATCGCAAACACTCCCTAATTGGGGTGGTTCCCGGTGGAATTTTTTGATGAATTTTCTTGAGCGTCTTCTTCATTAAGTCTAGTTTACCCATACCAAATTTCAGCTAAAAATTCAATCGAGAAGGCAGTCAAATGATTTTCCGAAATGTACTGCGCTGTTTAACTTCGCAGTTATCTTCAAAAAATCATTTGACTTCCTTCCCGGTGGAATTTTTAGCTGAAATTTGGTTTGAGTAAACTAGACTTAATGAAGAAGATGCTAAAAAAACATCAAAAAATTCCCCTGGGAACCACCCCAATTAGCGACGGCCGGGCAGAACCTCCTATATAAGGAGCTAATTGAACACTTTAAGTCAGTAAGCTGGATGCAGCTTGGAAGGAGTTGTGGCCCACCAGAAGTCGGTAAACATACCTAATTTAAGCAGGAATAAAAAAACTAATGTTTCCTAGCTATCTACTATGAAGGGAATTTAGATGTAGCAATAATTGCATTTCGTCTCTATGCCAAATGGGATTTCAACACAAGACAATTGATTTACTAGACTCTAAGACTCGCTAGTATATTCGGCAATAGAGGGTCCACTTCCGACCTTCATACTTCGTATTAACAAAGTGCCTCATTAGTAAAACCTTGTTCTGAGCGGTCTTGGCCAAGTACATGACCTCCAACGTCTTCAAGATCAGAGATCTAGACATAAGCATTAGTTTCTTGAGGAACATGGTACGGTGGAAGACACTGTGGTCAATATAGAAGGCTAGATACCTTAGCTACTATTTTGAAGTGTTTGTTGTGTAAAACTCTTTTGCATGACCACATATCGCGAAACAATTTTTTTGTATTAAATTATAATTTTCAATTCCGAGTAGCTTTCCAATAAACCAGTCCCTACATAGTTGACTTTTTGGCTCCGCCACTGCTTTCCATTATATTTCTCTTAAAAATAGGTAGAAGAGAATTTACAAGCTCTATCCCCCCTAAAAGCAACACCTTACAAATTTAATTTATCTAGGATTTACACAACTCTTCTTGGTATTGCTATGATGGATTACTAAGCTAGAAAAGCTTGAGATGCTTTTGTATTTATAGGACCAAAATTAGGTGGGATGAGACTAGGAGAAAAGTGTGATGAAACTTGAAAAATGTTTCAAGGGAGAATTTCACTTTGCACCCACGTTATGGGTGACATTGGACTTTGCAACCCGTTTTCAAAATCACTAATGTACTTCTTGAAAACTATGAAGAATTGAGGTGCAAAGTCAAATTATTTCATAGTAAATTGGGGTGCTACATTAATGATTTTAAAAATAGAGTGCAAAGTCAAATTTCACTCAAAATGGGGTGCAAAGTCAAATTCTCCCAAATTCCAATGATGAGTGTGCAGGATTTAACTCCTAGGTGTGATGAAGCTTCTTTTCCATTCATAGGTTTTGAGGAAGCTTTTGGAATTGAATTCTTCATTTACTTTATAATTAAATACTACATATAACATATTCACTTATATTTACCCTTTTTTTGACAAATGTTTACTACATTCAATTGAATCAATCTAGCTATAAACTAGTACACGACAAAGTTATATGGAGACCTATATTCACTTTGTTGATTTACCCAACTTTCATCAAATCTATAAATGCAATTAGACTCAACAATGGACACATGAATTCTTAGTAGGAGGGGTCAATGGCGTATCCAGGAATTTTTGCCAGTGGGGACGAATTTACATTAGCTACCTCACACATGTCATAAACAATGACCAAATTAATCAAATATAGTGCAAAATCACTTTAAAATAACAAAATATTTGTGAGACAAAAATATTACGATATATATCACACTTAAAAATTGCATGCCAGAAGTTTTTACTTTGTTAAAAATAAAATTTAATCACATATTCCGTAGTTTGTAATGTATTCAAAATTATGTTAGCAATAAGAATCAAATAAGAAATGAATCAAATATTTATTTAGAATTAACTTAATTTGTGAATGCACAAGTATATTTAAAAATCAAATTATATTAAATGTAAAAATGCAATTGTTAAAATATTATGCGAAAATTTATACTGCAATTATATTGAAGTAGTTCAAATAATCCAATTGTCTGAATTTTAAAGTAGCTTTAAATTAGTTTATTTAGTGCATAAAAATCAAAGTAAAACAAAATGGAAAAGGTAAGGGTGAGAATCTAATTGAAAGTTTAGAAAGCATAATTAAGTAAAACAAAATGGAAAAGGCTAGGGTTAGATGCTAAGGATCGAATTAAGAGCTTAGAAATGCATAAGTCAAATAAATTTAAAAAAAAGATGAACACATGAATCGAACCCCGCTCCGGGTGGAAATCCTCCTGAAACACGCAGCAACAACTCCACTCTACCACGGCTGCAACTTGTCCCTTATGTCGTTTATACTATATAAGTTACCTATTTTTAATACTTATCTACATAAATAATTTAATATTTAATATATATACAGGGGTTGGGTGGGGTTGAGTGGGGGCAGCTGCCTCCACGCTGGATCCGCCCCTAAGGCGTGTTAGTGTAAAAAAAATACATATTAATACATATATTTAAAATTTGGAGTAATTATACCTAGTAGAAAAAAAAATTGGGGAGGGTGAGCGGCCCTCATTAGCCCCCTTTGTGTCCGCCGCAGATTAGACTTGATCGGGTTTATTTAATTTCATGTTAGAGATATTACCCGAAATAGGACTAAAAAGGTTAAAAAATTCCAAAACAGGACTGACATGTTTTTATTCCCAAAATAGGACTAATTACTGTCATGTTTTGGCAGTACCAGACTTCAAACATGACAGTATTTTCCAAACTTGGCAGTAATTACTCCTATTTTGGGAATAAAAATATGTCAGTCATATTTTGGAATTATCAAACTGTTTTAGTCCTATTTCGGGAACTTTCCCTTCATGTTATCTAAATGCATCTTAAATGTGCTTTCTGCCTATAAAATTTGAAGTAGCTAGGTTGGTTTCACCAGCTTACCTGCATAACTTTCTCCAGTAATGAAAAATTCTCGTCCCCGGTAGTTTTGGAACTTGTGGAACCATCTTTTCAGAAATATTAGATTGTCTCTTGCTGTCAACATGAGATGAAGGGTTAGACTTCATGAAGTAAAATTGGACATGTAAACAAATTTGATAGCATTAATCTTCATAATTAATATTAAAAGCTCTGAAGTGTTAAAAATGTTATTTATATAGTATATAAACTGTTCCATTTTCATTAAAAACATGTTTCAATGATTGTTTAATTTGAAATATAGGAAAATTATTGGTTATTGTCATAAAACATATAGTTCATGTTTCTTTTTTCTGAACTACAAATATATGGTTCATATCATTTTACCTCATTGTACTCAAACTTTAACTACACTTTTGCTTTAATTTTCGACCAATTTATTAATAATTGCACCAATAAAAAACCAATTCAACATATTTGGGAGGAATGTAGTACAAATTCCCTCTGTCACAATTCTAGCTAGGTAGGTTTCTTAAATTATGGGTATATTTGACACATGATATATATAAGAGGTGTTTTCCTAAAATATTACTAATAAAAATGTGACTATAAGTTACTATTTGTAAGTTTTATAATCACTATGATATACTCCCTCCGTCCCGGAAAATTGTTCCCGTATTGACTTGGAACGGAGTTTAAGAAAGTGAGAATAAAATTGAAATGTATGGTTGTGGTTGAGTAAGAAAAAAGTAAATAAATTGTAGCCACAAAAAACTTTTCAAAAGGGGAAAGTGGAACAATTTTTTGGGACGGCCCAAAAAGAAAACCGGGAACAATTTTCAGGGACGGAGGGAGTAACATTTGAATGTAACTAGTCACTGAACCAGAGTCACATTTTGTCCATATACTATTATTTTGGTTATATATTCCGAATTATTTGTAGATAATAACTATTCTCTGATAACATATACGAAGTAAATTAGAATAAAAAAATATAACCTTCCTTGTTCTGAAACTTAGAACAAAGTCCAATTGATCGAATAAAAAGAATATTATGTATGAAATTATTATAAATTACGGAGTAAAAAGTTAGATTAGTGACTCTGTCGATAGTCAAATTTAATGGACTAATGCACCTAATTTAGCAATACAAACCCCTAATGATATACTATCATTTAATACGGAGTATGTAATTACATACTCCTTATAATACAGACAAATTAAAGATGGTCAATTATTTTGAAAAATGGTGCAAATTAAAACCTGTCATCTCATCATTCACGTAAGTATAGTAGGATTGATTGAGAGAATATGAGAACCCAACTCCTGCAGGGGATTCCAAATACAACATGTTTGCCTCTGCACAAATACAGCAAATACGTACCCAAGTAAGTTATCCAAAAAATTCAAGATTTTACATTTTTAACTAATGGTTGACAGAATATATTCTAACATGAAAAAAAAAAACAAAAAACTGATACCGGATTGTCTCATCTTTCTATTTCAGTCCGTCCTACTAAAATGGTCTCATATCCATAGCAAATTTGGTAACATTGATGTGGTTCTGAATCATTCTTATTTTATCGATGATTTAATATCAATTAAATCACTTTTCTTAATAATCAGACCACCTCTTCATGTCGTTAGTGGGACAAAGGTAGTATAAGATACTAAAAAAAACCTTTGTTCCAATTGTGGGGATTTTTGATCAAGACACTCCCTCGCGGTCGGAAAGGGCCATGCTCCCCGAAAGCTCCAACTCCAACAGATGAGCACCCAGGACCTGTTTATTCATCAATCATCATTAGTACCAAATGATCTTACTGTTAAATCCTCTCAATCCGGCCAAGAATTAATTGAAGGGGTTTAGCCCCAAGACATTTAAAAAGCGCATCAAATTATCCATGTGTTATAATAAATTCCGAACGAAAGAAAAATGAGTAGAATATTTGCATAATAATTTAGAGATCTTGAAAAATTGACTTGCATATATATACGCAACCATAATACTTCGTGTTAAGATGTGTGATTTCAAAATTACTGAGTTTGTTCTTGCTGGATTTTTTGAATTTGATTAATCATAAGGCAAGGAGTTTGAATTGGCACATTTTTTTATATCAAGGGAGCTAATACAAAGAATATTTATTTTTTACATGAATTTCATTACCCTAATAATTTAAACAAAATTAAAAATTTGGTATGAGTTTCAGACGTTTTTTAAGCTTCTCTTTAGGGCGTAATTCCGCCGCTAGGGCTGTTTATCTGCGTTCGTCTCTGACGAAGTGCAGCCGTCATTGAGGCGGAGCTCCGATTTCGTTCCTAATTGTAAGTAGAGGCGGGTTTCGAACCTTTTCGGCTTGAAGCTTCGGTCGTTTTTCTATTGCAGACGGAACACAGAGCGATTACAAATTAAAGACAACAGGATAGAGATTTCTTTTGCACCTCGGACATGGATTTCAACGGCAATCTTCAAGATGCAAATTGGAGAGAGAAAATTGGCGAGAACAAGAAGGATAGAGTTTAGACGAATTTCCCACGGATCGAAATTCTCTTCTCCAATACGACAGCAGCTCGTTCGCCTCCAGAACTACCTCCGGGCGAAAATGCAATTTGGGGAAAGTTTCTATTTTTTTATTATTTTCCCTTTAGTAGTACTCCCTCCGTCCCATTTAAAGGTTCCCGTACACTATTTTCCGGTCAACGTGCATTGTTCTTAATCTTTTACTTTATATATCGAAAGTTTATGAAATTTAAATTATTTTTTGCAGGTTTTGTAGCGGCTTTAATGTAGTTTCTGAATATGTAAATTTTATTTACTAAAAATAATTCTATTAAGCACAGGGATCAGTTAACTTTATAGTCAGTCAAACATCGTAAACCGTGTGGGAACCTTAAAGTGGGACGGAGGGAGTATTTGTTTTTATTTCAGTTCGAGTAGGTATGGTTGGAGTCAGTGGCGGATCCAGGAATAAAAACTATTGGGGGCAAAATTGTAATACACAAAATATGTTCACAAAAATACTTTATCTTTTTGACAAAACTTCTTAACCTATAAATTATACTCCCTCCGTCCCAGAATTAACTTCGGTTTTGACTGGGCACGAAGATTAAGAAAGTGGGAAATGTGTGGTGGAGAGTTGTGCAGAGGAGAGAGAAATGTGTAAGAATGATTGTGAACCACAAATCCTTTGCTAAAAAAGGAAAGAGGGGATAAATTTGGGACGGACCAAAAAGGAAAGAATGAAGATAATTATGGGACGGAGGGAGTACTGTTTTTTTATGTTAAGGCCAACATCTTTGTTCTGGGATGAAATTCAAACATGTGATTTTTTTTTGCAGTGTCACAATAATGCCATCAGAAAATACAAATACAAAAAGCATATTAGATCAAACACAAAAAATGTTATAAAGTATACACCAATTGTTAAAACGAAATAAAGCATATTACAATATAAAAGAACTAATTAATTTGATCAACTCTTCTTGAGTTTTTATCTCTTAAAAGTGATTTATTACGGTTTCATTTGTGAGCAGTGACTCTTTGAAATAAACTGCTTTCTATCACTCAAATTAGTCATCTATATTACTACATAACTTCTTAGGGCATTCAAATGGTATTAGATATATTTGTACTCGAACTAACTGGTGCCAAAATACACTGGTGTTTTATTCAAAAAAAAAAAACTATCGATTAAATTTAACAAAAAATGTAAAGTTAAAGTTTTTTTTAAATAATACACTATTCCTCTAAATAAAAACTAATACACTATTAAGAAATCTCAAATCTTGTGTTGTCTCTATAAAACAACCAGCAATAAAAGCGCGCGTGTAGTTCTGATTTTACCAACTATCTTAGCATTATTAAGTCTAAATAAATTAAAGGTGTTAATTACATTAGTATGTAATTAATTTTACATTTGGATAAAGTTTTATTTACATAGTTCTATAGTAAATTTAAAATTTTATATTGTTAATTTCTTAATTTTAACCTACTGGCTGACTAGCTAGTGTATTAATATGTTTATAAATTAGGATGTGTGATAGAGTCCATTTGGTAACACGAAACTCGACTGATTCGGCTGAAATTTATGAAGTTCTGGCTGAAATGCTTGCATTGGCCGGTTATGTCGATTTAAGAAAAAATAGTTTTAAAATACTACATATTTTATTAATAAAATAAAGAAAAAATTATACTCTGTATGTAAAAATAGTTAAAATGGTCACCTACAATAACTTCAGCCAATATAGCTAGAAAAGTAACCCCAACTTTACTTTTCTAATTATTAGACAATTCAGCGAGCGAAAACAAAAGTTACGTGTTTGGTAAAAAAGTTGGCTGAGAAGCTGAAAAACAAGTATTACCAAACGACCTTATAATCTTTATTTATTCTACTAAGGATAAACAATACGGATTACGGAGTATCTAGCAGGAACAAATGAACAACTCATAACAGACCGTAACTACTAAACTTATCTATTTGTTGTTCTCGAATCTGCATATTTATTACTCTGTAGTTACCTTGATGTTCTCACTTCTCAAATGTGCAACATAATTCTTCTATCTTTAGGGATTTTAATCTTTTAATTGCTATTACTTCTCTTCCGTATAGCCTAAACTAAAGTTAGAAATTTTTTTACTTTAGACATGAAGAGATTGGACTGTAAATTTGTTGGGGGCATTCCTATTTTCTAATTGGGGGCAAATGAGTGGACTTGTATTTTTTCTTAATGGATTAAGGAGTGTTAATATGACTTTATTGGGGGCAAGTGCCCCCCATCTTTACTAACTAGATCCGCCCCTGGTTGGAGTATTTTGATTTTTGATGACCTTTTGATAGGCAATTGCTTTGTATGGGTAGCTGACTCTAAGTCTATTCCTAGGGTTCGCGATCAGATCTGTAACAGTTGTCTGTATTTTGTATTGTATGTTTGCTCTATTTTAATGAAAGCCGTTTGACGATAAAAAAAGAATTAAAAATTTGGTTGGACCGAGGCCTAGGTTGGCCCCTAGCTACGCCCCTGGCCCCAATAATTCACTATTTTAGCGGGTATGTTAGGATGTTTTAATTGAACTGAAATTTGCTGGTCTAGTCTGATCTTGTTTGGTCTGGTAATTGATATGTTTAATTTGATCTTTGTGTATTTTATAACTATGGAAGTTTGATTTGGTCTGATCTGGTGACTCTGGTCTGTTTAAGTCTGCTCTGGTATATTTAAGTCTGGTACTATGGTCTGGTAAATCTGGGCTGATCTGGTCTGGGATTGAAAACAATACAAGTTAAAACATCCTTATTGTCAATCCCTCACAGATCGAGCAAAAATCATTATATAGATAAACATATAAAGTCTTGAGATACTACACCTCTTCGAATCATATTATGTCAATTCTTTAAGATAGAATCTCAAACCTATTTATTTAATCCTAATTAAAACTTTTTGGGAAAATTGTCAAATAAGTCCTCGTACTTTTACGAAAAAGTCAATTAAGTCTTTGTACGTCAAAACAAGTCAATTAAGTCCATGAAGTGTTAAAAATTAACCAAATATGCTATTTGGCAGGTAACCAGCCGGTAACCTTTGTTTCTTTCTTCTTTTTCTCTTTCTGTTTTATAATATCCACTCTACACCATCCATTGTCATTCGGAGACCCAGTATGGCGGTATGGTGTTGTCGATGGTCTACCGCGTTGGGGGTTTGGCTTGCCGGAGAAGTGCAACAAGCATCGCCGTCCCAAACATTAGTTCTGCACACTCACGCCTCGTCTGTAGCTTTTTTGCCAAGTCGCCGTTGAGAGAGGCTTTGTGAATATGCTTCATTGCTTCAATTTGGCCGCCATTCCCAAGCAAGGAAAAAAGTGGTCGAGAAGTTTGGGAGAAAGAAAGAGAAGAAATGAAAACAAAAAACAGAAATACTAGGGGTAGTACACAAGTTGTACACAACTTGTACACAAAATGTCGATCACAGACAATTGGTACGTAATTGTCTGTGGGCACAGACAAGAGTTGTCTGTGTACACAGACAACTCTTGTATGTGTCCACTGACATTTACTTTCGTGTAAAAAGTACACTGACAGCCGTCTGACACCGACACCAGCTTGCAAATCAATCAATATATGTGCACTGTCTGTGTGCACAGACGAAATTTTCAACAATTATTTGTAATTGTTTGTGCACAGGCAATATTTACCACACAGACAATAGTTGTGCGTCATACATACAATAGTTGTCTGTGTGATCAACTTTAGTTGTCGGTGTGATCAATTACAATTGTTTGCGTGAACAAATAATTTATTTGTCTATATATATCAAAATGAATGATGTAGTTGTATGTGTGATCAATTTACATTTAATTTGAAAAAAACAGAAAAATAATAAAAACAGATGAAATAAGATGAATAAGCTAATTTTGTGCAAATAATGAAAAAATATTTGATATAAAAAAGTAGAGAAAAAGAAGATGAAAAAAATTGATATAAAAAACTAGAGAAAAAGAGGATGAAGAAGGGAAGAGGAAGATGAAGAAGAGAAGATGATCTTTTTTTTTGAGATATTCCAATGGGTTGGATAAAGAGGAAAGAGAGAAGGGAGAAGGGGGAAGAGAGAATGGAGATCGAGAGAAGGGGAAGAGGGATATGGGATTTTTTGGGCCTTTTATATGTGCCCACCATGTGTATCTTAAGCATTTTTCAAAAAAAAAATGAACAATAAAAAAAGAGTAAAAAAGGAAAACAGTAAAATGAATGTCACTTGGACATCGACATAGAGAGCTATCCGGGTTTATCGGCTAGTGACCTATGAAATAGCTATTTTGGTGGTTTTTGACACTTCAAGGACTTGATTGACTCATTTTAAAGTACGAGGTCTCGATTGACTTTTTCATAAAAGTATATGGACTTATTTGACAGTTTTCCCAAACTTTTTTGTTTGACTCATTTTGGCCCTTTATTGTATAGACATGTTCTATGTCTATTTTACGCGCCACACAAATAATTCATTATGTTTTTCTCAGAAAAATGCGATTTTTCTAACGAATTGCCCGTGTAGGTACACAAACAATACATGTACAAAAACGTGTGCAGATGGCACGTACAAATTTATATGGTAAACAAATTTATATCCATTTACTTTACTACCATTGAATAATAATAATGACAACATAATGCATAACAGTGAAAACAGTGTATAATATGGTAAAACTTAATTCTCAATAAAAGATGCATTTCAGGAAGTCATATGAAAAAATTTATTCACTAAATATGCGTGAAATTCAATGGAGAAAAGCTATTAATAGGCATGAGAAAAACTTAATTCTCAATGGAGTGAGATTGATCCCAGTTTACCCCAAGCCCCCACCCCCCCCCCCCCCCGTGGGTAAAAAAGGGAGTATTAGGGCATCCCCATTATTTAGATTATTTAGAGTTTAATTGAATGATGTGTAAAATTATTTTAAAGATTATCATTGTGAGTGAGAGATTATTTAGAGAGATTATTGATAAAAATAATGCGGTATCAAGATTTGAATCCCGGATTATTTTAGATTGTAGTTAAATTTCAATTAATGCATGGTCTAGAAAAACTAATTATTTGAATATCATGGTTGATGGAGAGATTTAAGATTTGAGATTATTTAAAATTTATTTAATAAATATGATGTGTCAATGATGTGTCAAAGAAAAACCATTTATTTTAACATCATGAATGGAGATGCTCTTAGGGCATCCTCATTGGTAGGATTATTATGAGATTAAATTGGTGACATGACAGTTTTTTTAGAGAATTATCATTGAGTGACATAGATTGTTTAATGGGATTATTTACTACAATAATCTGGGATCAAAATATGAATCTGGATTATTTTAAGATTATTTGAAAAAGTATATGTAATAGATATTAATACAGGACATAAAAAAAGCAGATTATTTGAAGATGATGATTGAGAGACATAAACGGATTTTGAGATTATTTTAAAATTAATTACATAACAATAGTTAAATGGTAAGAATCATAGAAAAAATTGATGATGATTGAGAGACATAAACGAATTTTGAGATTATTTTAAAATTAATTACATAACAATTGTTAAGTGATAATTAGAATCATAGAAAAAATTGATTATTCGATCTCGATCATGGATGGAGATGCGGTTAAGTATGCATGTGTGTGATTTCGGCCTTACCACCATTTAGCCAGAGAACAAGTGGCTTAGAATCTGGGTGAGTTTCGGCCTCGACAAAGTAGTAGAAAAGAGCCCTATGCTGGTCAACTTTAACGTAGCCGGAGTATTGCCGGAAAGTGACGTTAGCTGGTTGCCCCGGCAAGCTGCTGATCTGATCGCCATGGGAGGACTCCACTCTTGTAAAGGACGTGTATAAAGTTGCTGTGAATATTATGGCTATACATGACCACCAAGCTGCCATATTCTTTGATGCTTGAGGATGATTAAGTATAGTATGATCCACTATTATTAAGGAAGATTAATATATAGAATCACTAGTTTGCCATCATGAGATGTATTTGGACCAATTATTGAGTGCGTTTGTATATACGTAGTAATATGTGACCAACTTTCTTTTTTTATCTGTTAAAAAAACTACTCCGTATCATTTTCATCTAATGTTATTTCTCTTTCCACTACATGCACAACTATACAATTTTTATTTTATTATTCTACATGTAGGTCAACTTGATTTTATGAGATGGAGAGAGCTAACTATATGTCATTGGTCGTTAAGATCTAATTGGTCAAGAAGAAAAGAAAAAGCATCTTTGTCTATTCTACAAAGTCATAACATAGGGAGAAATATATAAGAGCCTCGAAGGAATTAAATAAGTATAGCACGTTACAAGAACTACTGATTATAAGCACGTTATAGTATTTGGTAATTTATGTATACATTTTCACCACACAGTCGTTATCATTATTTGGAATGGAGGTGTGCCTCCCACTTGTATAATCACATTATTAGCACCAATCAAGTACCTCGTAGAAATTATGCTTCCGATCCTAAGGATTGTGTTTTTTACTTTTTGAGTAAAAGACAACTTCCACTAATCGATCATGCAACTTCCCTTATGTGCGTATTGAGCATGAAATACTTATATACGAAGTACGTATTATATAACTAAAATAAAAATTGTCTACATAAATATGACTAGTGCTAGAATAGTAATGAAATGTAAGTAAAATCAATTTTTAAATTTAAGTTATCATGACACAACATTGTAGTAACTATTAATCATATTTATGTAAATAAGTTTTATTTAAGTTTTCATAAAACACTCGCAATACATTGCAATAACAAGTTAACGCATTAAGGATACTATACAATGAGGAGGAAAATGAAACCAATCTTGGCGACCAGACAAAGAAACGGTCACCCGAGCTATATCATGAGCGGCACGGTTCACAGATCGCCTAACAAAAGCAAAAGAAATGTTATTAAAATCACGAATTGAAACTTTAATGTCTTCAATAACTAGGCCAAATTGAGAGCAGCCGCGCGCGCGCCCCCCATTTGAATTGCAGAACTAACTAGCAACGCATCCGACTCAATATCGATATTATCCCATTGCAAGCCTTTCAGCCAACTCAGGGCCTCCCGAATTCCAAGTGCTTCAGCCATCCTGCTGCCACAAATATCCCCGAGGAATCCCGGATAACCCAACCCAGCCCTCGTTTACCATCAGCCCCGATTGCTGCATCTACATTCATTTTAAACCTCCCAATTGCAGGTTTTTTCCACACCTGGGTCCCCTCCCTTAATCTGGCCCGAGCTGCACCCCCTTGGAATTGAGCCTGCTGCCACCCCTGAAGGAAAGCTCTAGACAGAGCTGCAACCTTGTCCACGTCAACATTCTCATTGTGCCACACTTTCCTGTTCCGAAATTGCCAAACACTCCAGCAAAACATGATCATCTCACAACTTTGCTCTTCATTTTTAGATGAGAAAAAATTCCTAACCCACTCTAAAAATGCCATATCTCTGCTGCCAACTCCAAGCCACCCCTTCTGCTCCCAGAAACTCCTTGCTAATGAGCATTGTAGGAATAAGTGATTGCTAGACTCCGCTCCATCTAAACACAACACACACTTGTCTGGAACATCCACCCTTCTTCCTCGTAACTTTACGGAGCAAACCTGCCAGAAGAAATGCTTGACTTTTGGGGGAATAAAAAAGTTCCACATTTTAGTCCACCCCTTCCAACCTACTTGTTCGACTTCACCCCACAAGTATCTATAACAACTCTTGAGGGACATCTCTGTAACTAAGGGCGATACTAGCTACCAGACTCCTATCCCTCGAGTTGAAAATGTCCTTTACAATGTAGTCGTCCCACCTGCGCACTCCAATCTCCATTAAATTCTCTACACGACACAATTCGAGGCCCCCCAGAGGGGTTGTTGTAACTCTCGGGTTAACTGGATCAGGCCGGGAGCCAAGGGTCAGACCAAACTTGTACTGATTTCCCATCTCCTATCCGCCACCGGTAACCAGCCAATATTGCAGGCTTGGCCTCCCATATGCTCCTCCAAATGTATGACGGGTTAGAGCCACACTTAAAGAGCTACGAGGGTAATATCTAGCTTTGAACATCGGGCGTTTTCTCAAAACACGGGAAAAGCCAACATGCAAGGTAAAAACACGGGAAAAAACAGAGAGAATGACAAAAACACGGGGGTTTTGAACAAGCCATGCAAAAAGACGGGAGTTCCTCTTAGGGTACTAAAAGACGGGATTCGGAATACAGAATTGCGAATGAATTAGGTTGGTCTCACACTTTGATTCGGAAGTTCCAATTCCGAATGAGAGAAGATTTTTTTTTTAAAATGTGACTTCCAATTCGGAAGTTGGATATCCGAATGAGTAAAAGCCTCCAAAATACGAATGTATTATTGAGCTCCAATGCTCCATGATCCCAACCATAAGTTTCCAAAAAAGAATGAAGCTACGTGTTTGCAATTCATCCACATTTTCTACATACAGCTATGACATACTCCGTATAAAAAGAATGAAGCTACGTGTTTGCGTCCCCAACTTTTTCGGCCCATCAATCTTGGAGATCTTCCTGGTGTAGTTATGATTCCAATTAAATCTTAATAATTAAAATGTTGTATGTTTTTTTAAATTTTTTAAGCATGGTGAAATGATGTTTGTCAACAATAAATATAGGTGGGTCGGACCCCATTCATTTTCGGAGGGTGGAAGACACGCGTTGCCCGTTTTACGAGACCTCTTAGACCGCATGAGGGAGAGTCAAGTAGTAATTTGAATTCTACTTTTAATACAATTGTCTTTTAGTACGAGCTATCTCATTATTGTTTAATTAACATTATACTTTTACAGTTTGTATGGACCCCCTATCCCTTGGGCAATCTTCCTGAAGACATCAGAAATCAATCCAGGCTTTGGTTTGCTGAGGTTATGCTATTTTTTTTTTTTGCGATTATGCAGAGAGGCATTGCCTCGACCGGTTTTGTCGGCAGTTCTTTGCCATTCAGAGAGAGCCAAAACCCACTTTCCAACGTACAGACCATCACATCATTAGCTCCCGCGCTAGTGCAGCTTCGTTAGCAATGTGGCTGATGGGTATCGTACGTGGTACGCACGGACCGGTTGGAAACGTGTCGTGAACCCTTCGCATGGTACACCCACGACGGGCTACACCCCTGCAATACGTGAATTGGGTGTTACAATAAGTTTCTAATTACATACGATACTCATTAATAAGTTTTCCTTTATAATATTTACACTAATTGATTTTTATTGCAGTTGCAGTGCATTCATGATACCTATCAGCTTGCTGATAATTTGGCCGATCATGAGGATATGAAAGATCGGCTAGCACAGTGTGTTATAGCATTAGATGTAGAAGATGTGCTCCACCAAGGCATCTTCCATTACCCAGATGCAGACAATGAGCCCGGTCCCATACCTCCTCCTAGGCAAGATCGCCGCGGTTACGTTGCAACGCATAGAGTGGCAGCTGCTGACAGAGATGATGCGGGAGATGAAGATTAATATGAAGAAGATGAGGACGAGGGTGATAGGGATGAAGAATATGAGCCACCGCCATATTCTACTCCTAAAGAGTACTATACGTCGACTGAAGCATAACGTGTTCCGAATAACGTGTTTTGAAAAGTCGTGCATTAGTATCACTTATACGGTAGGTATGTATCGTATAATGTATTAGTGTGTATCTTTTAATTTGAACTATTATAATTAATCAATTTATGTATTAGTGTGTGTTTGTATACTAAGGATGTTTTCTTTTGGACTGAAATTTGCTGGTCTGGTCTGGTTTGAACTGGTCTGGTCTGGTCTGGTAAACGTCTGGTCTCTGTGTATTTTATGACTATCCAAGTCTGGTCTGGTCTGGTCTGGTTAAGTCTGGTCTGGTCTGTTCTGGGACTGAAAACAGTCCAAAAGAAAACATCATAATAAGAAATTTTAAACGGGTCTTCAGTCCTGAACGAGTCCAATCATATGTACCATATCCGGTTTATTAAAATACCAAGGTGTCTAGTTTATACTATTATATTTTTCGAAAGGGGGTCCAATTTATTCATTAATTAAAAATAGCTTTATATCAATTTAAGTTGTATCACTAAAATAAAAATAGAAATTACCATTTCGAACTCCATCATCCGAATGGGATAACAAAAAGTGAAAAAAATTGATTTGGAACTCCAACTTTCGAATGGATTAAAAAGCAAAAAAAAAAAAATTGTTTCGGAACATGGGTTTCCGAATGGGTGGGTGAGTTGCGCCTAAACCAAAATCTATTCGGAAGATGTGTTTCCGAATTCCGTATTCTTAGAAATCCCATGTTTTTTCCGGTGTTTTTACCTTGCATGTTGGCTTTTCCCGTGTTTTGAGAAAACGCCCCAGCTTCGTTAGCAATGTGGCTGATGGGTATCGTACGTGGTACGCACGGACCGGTTGGAAACGTGTCGTGAACCCTTCGCATGGTACACCCACGACGGGCTACACCCCTGCAATACGTGAATTGGGTGTTACAATAAGTTTCTAATTACATACGATACTCATTAATAAGTTTTCCTTTATAATATTTACACTAATTGATTTTTATTGCAGTTGCAGTGCATTCATGATACCTATCAGCTTGCTGATAATTTGGCCGATCATGAGGATATGAAAGATCGGCTAGCACAGTGTGTTATAGCATTAGATGTAGAAGATGTGCTCCACCAAGGCATCTTCCATTACCCAGATGCAGACAATGAGCCCGGTCCCATACCTCCTCCTAGGCAAGATCGCCGCGGTTACGTTGCAACGCATAGAGTGGCAGCTGCTGACAGAGATGATGCGGGAGATGAAGATTAATATGAAGAAGATGAGGACGAGGGTGATAGGGATGAAGAATATGAGCCACCGCCATATTCTACTCCTAAAGAGTACTATACGTCGACTGAAGCATAACGTGTTCCGAATAACGTGTTTTGAAAAGTCGTGCATTAGTATCACTTATACGGTAGGTATGTATCGTATAATGTATTAGTGTGTATCTTTTAATTTGAACTATTATAATTAATCAATTTATGTATTAGTGTGTGTTTGTATACTAAGGATGTTTTCTTTTGGACTGAAATTTGCTGGTCTGGTCTGGTTTGAACTGGTCTGGTCTGGTCTGGTAAACGTCTGGTCTCTGTGTATTTTATGACTATCCAAGTCTGGTCTGGTCTGGTCTGGTTAAGTCTGGTCTGGTCTGTTCTGGGACTGAAAACAGTCCAAAAGAAAACATCATAATAAGAAATTTTAAACGGGTCTTCAGTCCTGAACGAGTCCAATCATATGTACCATATCCGGTTTATTAAAATACCAAGGTGTCTAGTTTATACTATTATATTTTTCGAAAGGGGGTCCAATTTATTCATTAATTAAAAATAGCTTTATATCAATTTAAGTTGTATCACTAAAATAAAAATAGAAATTACCATTTCGAACTCCATCATCCGAATGGGATAACAAAAAGTGAAAAAAATTGATTTGGAACTCCAACTTTCGAATGGATTAAAAAGCAAAAAAAAAAAAAATTGTTTCGGAACATGGGTTTCCGAATGGGTGGGTGAGTTGCGCCTAAACCAAAATCTATTCGGAAGATGTGTTTCCGAATTCCGTATTCTTAGAAATCCCATGTTTTTTCGGGCGTTTTCTCAAAACACGGGAAAAGCCAACATGCAAGGTAAAAACACCGGAAAACTGCTTAGACCTCTGCTCAGGCAAAACTCTTTACTATCTTCAGCTCAACACATATTCATTAAGCCCTCATCATTTTCAACAAGGCCATATTATCATCTCTTCCAAGCTCCCATTTTCTACTAACAGTTGCCTCAGCAGTTCCCTGCCATCCAGGCAACTGCCAAGCCAACTGCTCACTGTTTAAAGTCCAATCTTCCCCAAATTAGAAAGTGGTCAAACACTCATGACATAAAGGGTAAAGACTTCCGCTGTGCATCTGTTAATCTCTCAAAAGATTATAGATCAACTCCTCTAGAGGGAAAACTTTGTAAGATTGAAAAAGATTTAAAAGTCTATTCACACCCCCCTAGACTTTTACCCTATCCGGGACCATCAAATTCAATCAGCGGGTTTGACTAGCAGAATAAATTGGCGGGTTGTTAAAAGATGTTTGGTAATTTAGCAGTTTGATCATAAAATTAGTAGAAAAACACCATTTTTCAAAACGCCAATCCAAAATTCTCATATTGGGAGCGTTTTCATTTCAGCGTTTTCGTCCAAGAACGCTAGTGCCGAACTGCTATTTACCAAATAACTTTTGCACTTATTGAAAACATTGAAAGTGGCGAAACCGTCATTTTTCGGCTGAAACGCCGTTTACCGATTTTGAGAGATATGATATTTTGAGGATCAAACTTAAAACTCTCTTTAATTATGAACATTTACCTTAAGTTACAATTTGATCTATTACATCTCCTACCTTTGACGATCTTCTATAACCATCTTGCTTCTACCATTTAGTACACCTACTAATTACTTAATACCAGTTCTAACACTAATATGAGCTACCTCATTTAAATATTAATCATATAAATATGATTTAACCCAATAATGTGACTTCTAATGACCTAATAAGGTACTATAGGCTAAATCAATATGGTTTCTAATTAAGAATAGTTATGTCACATTTTCGAACTTCTCACACCACCTAGCCGGTCACTTCAAATGAAATTTTGCTCAATGTCCTAGCTTTTCTTAATGGGGTAATTTGAGTTTGCACCTCATTTTATTGTCCAAATTGGATTTTGCACCACGTTATTAAAATTCTTTGTATTTGCACCCAACTCCGTATGAAAAGACAAAAATATCCCTCCATCAACAATTCTGTTGGCCTTCAACATATTCTTGATCGAGGGCATTTTTGTTATCTCACACAGGATTGTGGTGCAAATACAAAAAATTTGAAAACGAAATGCAAAGTCCAATTTAGACAATAAAATGTGGTGCAAACTCAAATTACCCCTTTCTTAATCCATGAATCTAATTTATAAAGATACTAGTACTAAAAAAATGGTGACCCTGCATATATAGATGCATGACTCGTACATAACAAACTAACACAAAAGCATTGAATTGGTTCATGATAAGTAAAAGTATTGGTATAAACTTCCAAGAGAATTAAATGATTTAGGTTGTTGAAATACAAAGGAACTTTAATTTGTCTATAGAGTTCGTCTCATTTAATCCATCATCTCAAATTATCCACTGATCAACAAAGGGTCATATATATTAATGCAAATCATTTGGTTTTCCAACGAATCTCGTCGTTGATGTGCTTCTAGTTTGCATTGCTTTTTCACTACGTGTGTTGAGAACAGGCAATGGTTTTCCAGCAAGAAATGATTTGAACATTATAAGAGACCTCTCAGGCTGTGAAAATGGAGCATCATGACTGGCACCTCTTATTGTTGCAAAGGAAAGCAACTCTCCATACCTTTGTGTCCATCCACCAACCTGAATGAAAATCATGCATGCTATTAGGACCATTGATCTTAAATAAATATCAATCGTGCTACTTGTACATGAAACACACGTCTAGTTGCCTTTCTACACAGGTAGCTTCTGAAAGAGCTGCCTGTGTACATATACAACTAGTGGAGAACATAAAACGTGTTCAAATTTTGTACGTGTACAAGTAGATCCTTTCTTTTTCATGTTACTTTACAAAGAAAAAATTCAAAAAAGAATTGATAAACTAACAAAACTTTATCTGACCTGATGCCTCTCATCAAACCAGGTGTGGTATGGCGTAGATGTGTTTAATTTTATAAACTTTGCCAATTTATAAACCAATGTACGAGTTCCAGTGAACGGGACAACTGAATCCTGGTCTCCACTGTTACATTAAATAAAACTAAAAAGCATATTATATTATATTCATATGCACTCACATACACATACAAGATTGCGCCACCACCCCCCAATTAGAACGTTAATTTTATGTTTGGATAATTAATGAATTGATGAAGCTAAAAATAAGAGATGATACATAACAAATGGTCCTTGTTCTAGAATAGTACTCTAGATATATCTCTTAGAATTTTCCAATAGATAATTGTGTAAAGTACATACTCCCCATGTCTCTTAATTAATTAGGTCTACAGTCAACATTTCACGATATCCAATGTCAACGTTTGACCACTGATATATAAAGATTTACACTTATAAAACTTATAATAAAACAACATATATATTAAAATGATGCATTCAAAATTATTATTATTTAAAAATAATACGTTTTTTTAGTAACCAGCGAATCAACGATCAAAGTCTATTTATAAAATAAAACTCAAACTGTAAACTTAAATGTGGGAGGGAGGGAGTATATTTCAAAGAAATACATATGCTTTACAATCACTCTGTCAGTTTGTGTTCACATCATTCTAGTCATTAGTTAGTTGATCATGAGGCTTTAGGATAGACTACGGGGGATGTATTGAATATGGATTGTGGTGGATTTTTTTAATCCATGGACTTTTAAAAGAGTCAATGTACTTTTAAATCGGTAGACTTTTTTATGAATGAATTCTATTGACATTTAAATCCATGGATAAGTTTATTGACTTCCTAGAAAGTCCATAGACTTTTAAATGTGGACCACCACTGCTGGTCGTTAGAATTTTCACCTAGATTATCGCTACTGATTTGCCCGTCCGCCTGTGTCATCGGAGTTCCCCGTTGTCATCATCAGATTGATCCGCCACCAACAAAATGGCTTTGATTATGCAAGGGACTAGGACAATTAATTATATTAATTAATTAAATTACGGGTAAATATGTAATGTTTAGTCCTATTTAAGGAAAATCAAACATATGATCATACTTAAAGAAAAGTGCTATGTTTTAGTCCTACCATGAGTAATTTCCTATGTATAATACGGAGTATGATAAGAAACAAACAAACAAACAAACAAACAAATAAATAAATGCAATTCATTTGGCAACACAGAGCTCTAGAAGAATAAATGAAGCATAAGAATCCAAATTTATTTTTATTCAAAAAATCTCAAGGTTTCAAGGATGCTCAAGAATTTTGGTCATTTTATTAATGAGTAAGAACATTAATGCAATCGAGGTTTTCTTCTTAATAATTCTTTTTGTTTCGTTTCTATCTTGCAAAATTTTGTATACCTGTTTACGGTTATATATTTATTAATTTGAAATTATATTTTTATGTGTTAGCGATTTAACGATGAAATAAAGAAAGTAATAGTTAAGATATTTATTTTCTTAATGGTTAACTTGTTGAGGAAAAATATTAATTGTGATCAAGCTTGTCTGATGTCTTGTTTATTTATCTAGAATAGATTAACGTTTTAATGTATTTATGATGTAATAAATTCAACTAAGGGTTTAAGGCCCAAAAAAAGCCTAGGCCCAGAATTCTAGGTTACCATTCTCGGTACCTGTACCTGCGCCTATAAATACGCGTACTTGTGGTACAGGACCGAGAATAATCAGCAATACAGTACTATTTTATTCTAAAAGGTTTTCATACTTCTCGATAGTATAGCGTAAGGCTCTATTGCTCTTAGATTGATCATATCATTGTCTAGACCTTACCTATATTGTCATAGATCGTATTTTGCTGTTCAATACATCCTTATTTTGGGACCAACAACTGGTATCAGAGCCGATCGAGTACTGATCTGCATCGACGAAAAACTGCGAAAAATACTCTGTTTCATGTTTCTCGATGTTTATTAAATCTGCCTTTGTAAATCTGTTTCTGGACAATTTTGTGTAAAAGTTATACTGTTGGATTCGTCTTTCAAAAACGAACCAGGAGTATATCTTCATTCTCGATACTTGTAATTTTTTAGATTTGAAGTTCTCGATACCTTCATATCGAAAAACAGGTTCTCGACACCTTTAAGCAGGTTTTTGAAGATTGATCAATACAGGAAGCTTCTCGACATCGAAAACAACTCAGCTGCAGTCTTCGTTTTAAAAATTCTGAAAACTTTTAAGTACAGGATTTCGATAGGATGATCTCGACATTAAGCTCGAGAACTTAGTTTTCGATACTAGCTTCTCGCATTAGTAGTTCTCGATATTTGTCCTTTGAAATATTTGTTTTCGATATTGCAGGTTCTCGACGTCAGTTCTCGAAACTCAAACTCGAAAAGTCAGTTCTCGAACTGAACTTCTCGAAGTTAGATTTCTCGATATCGACTTTTCAAACTCTTATATCGAAAACGAACTTTTCGAAGTTTGATATCGAAAACTTACTTCTCGATAATCTTTCTCGAACCCTTAAGTTCTCGAACCTAGTTTCTCGAAGTTTCACTTTTCGATAATCCATACTTAGAAGTAATTTTGTGACAGATCAATCACTCGAACGGTCATTCTTAGGACAGCAGAAATGGACGCTCTTTCAATGGGAAATGACAACAGACCCCCTATCTTGAGGAGAGACGAGTACGTAATGTGGAAGAACAGGTTTCTCAATTTTCTCGAAAGCAAAGACAACTCTTCAGCCATGCTTGAATCACTGACGGAGGGACCAGCTCAGATCTGGATGATACTAGGAGGTGACAATGATAATGAACCCCCCGTTGAACCAGTAAGGATACCTAAAGCTATTGAAGAATATACTGAAGAAGATAGATTGAGAGTCAAGGCGGATTTAATGGCAAAAACATATCTGCTCCAAGCAATTCCAAACGACATCTATATCCTGATAGATAGCATGGATTCTGCTAAGGAAATGTGGGATGAAATCAGAAAGTTGATGGAAGGAACCAATCTCGGTTTAAAAACAAAGAAGGCAAGCACACTCACTGCCTACGACTCCTTCAAGGCCAGACCCGGTGAACCTCTACATGAGACCTACAATAGATTTGTTAAGCTGGTGAATGATCTGAGAAAGATCAATGTGAACAAAGCTAACATGGAGCTGAACATACGTTTTCTATCAAGTCTGAGCCCTGAATGGAAGAGAACAGTGAAGAATGTGAGACAGAACCTGGATCTTGATGAAGTTGATCTTTACACCATTCACGACCACCTCCAACAGTTTGTAAACGACACTGCAGAACCCGAAATTGCTGATCCACTTGCTCTAGTGATGGAAACTCAGATGAGGAGTACCACTAAAACGCAAAAGAAGAAGAAAGCTGTAGTGATGTCAGAAGAAGATGAAGGAAGTGATGAAGAGATAGACATGGAGTCTGAAATGGCGGAGTTGCAGAAGAAAATGGCACTCTTGACCAATCAATACAACAGAAGATTTGTTAAGAAGAATACTTCATCCAACAAACTGAGAACCTCCTCATCCAACTACAAACCAAAGCAGTTTGAGCAGAATTCCTCAGAAAGAGCTGTTGCAGCAGAAGAACCTCCTAAATGCTTTAATTGTGGAAAGACAGGACATCTGATCAAAGACTGTCGCCTACCAAGAAGGAGGGACTTCAATTATTACAAGCAGAAAATGCTCCTGAACAAGCAAAAGATGTTCATGGCAAAGCAAGAAGATGAAAATGCTGCACTGCTCGCTGAGAAGGACCATTGGATGGAGGATGATTCTTCAGATGAGGAAGAAGAAAACTTAGCTTTGATGGCAATCGTGGAGAAGGATGAAAGAAAGGGTGATGCTGCGATCCCCAGAGATGATGAAGGTGAAAGCTCAAATAGCAATGTAAGTCCTTCTAAAAACTCATGTTCTTGCAAATGCAAAAATCATTCTTTAACTGAAAAGGACAAAACCATTAAGGAGCTTGAGGCGAGACTTGATAACAATCACAAAGTTTTACTTAAGAATTTGCATAAGAATGCCTGTCTAACTTTAAAACTTGATGAATCTACGAAAAAGGTTGAAAAATTGACCTTAGAAACTGAGAAGTTGACACTTAAGACCACAGACTTGACTCGTGAGCTGCGTGACACCAAGACAGAGCTTAATCAAACAAATGGATTGAAAAAGGTTTTGCATGATCACAGAAGTGCTCTTTATAGGAAGATTAAGGAGCTTGAGGATCTGTTAGCTAAACGTGATCAAACTGAACAAACGATTTTCTTAAATCAGCCCAAGGATACCCGTTTCTATAACTCCAAAGAAGGACTTGGTCTATCGAATCCCTGCAATCTGAAAAAGGTTAAATGTAAACAACTGTATGATGTTAACTATATGGGGTTCGGTCTGACCAAGCTCATGCATTTCACTGCGGCAAAAGAAACGGAAGAACTTGAGGCTGAGAAAAGAACAAACAGCACAAGAGCTCAAATCTCTTTTGATTATTCTGCTTTGAACAAAAGTTATGCTACAGCTGAACCTGTCTTCTCTTCTGATGAATGCGTGAGTCTTTATCCTTCTGAAAAGGAAGCTGTGTCTGATCTGGAACCTTCCTCAAACCCACAGTCTGATGTAGATGAACCCTACATTCCTCCTCTAATAAAGAAATTTGAAAACTTACACATTTCTCTTGAAAATCAAAGAAAAAGTTTTGAAGAAGAGAGGAAGAGTTTTGAGAGTGAGCGTGACAGACTGCTAAATGAACATACTCTTTTAAAAGAACAATCCCAGTCCAACACAGCTTCCCAATCTACAAGTAGTACTGACTCAACCATTGATCATAACAACAAAATTGAGAACATTTTTGAAAGTCCGCCTACTCACTCCAAGTCTCCTTCGGTTACAGGAACCAAAGTGAGTCGGAGATGGGAGAAGAGAGAGGAGTGGAAGACAAGAAGAAGAGAGGTTGCTGAAGGAAAGAAGAAAGTGTTTTTGAAAAATAAAAATTCTAGTTCTAGCGCAATGTTTTATTCTAAAAATAATTGTAACTCTTGCTCTGTTAAGCATGTTTGTACTCATAATTCAGTCTTGAGTCCCAAGCTGAAT